ATTTGACATGTCAGCATCTTTGAACTGGCACATTGGAGGGAACGTGGAGAATCCGGAGCACTCTCAGATCCTGGGCCCAAGCTTCTGGCAGAGGGGCAGGACGTCACGCTATTCTGTTTCCCTCATGATGCATGGGGGTGGAGGTTTGGGTGTTTACATTTTAAAAGGCTCCTCTCAACCAAAACTGAAACTTAGAGATGCTGCCAGTATGGATTTTTTTTTTTTTTTTTTTTTTTTTTTTTTTTTTTGCACCTGCAAAAACTGTCGTGTTACTAAAACCAACTGTTTTTGCTGCACAGGCTGCTGCACGTGACGGGGGTGTTTCTCCAGCTTGTGAGCGAGGGGCTGGCCGTGTGGCCGTTGCACAACCCAGCACAGTACACCCCGCAGGGCCAGCCGCCTCCGCTCCAGAGTGTTTACAAAGCAGACCCGGGGGACGGCGGCCCTCTGAGGGAGGCCTGCCGAGGATCAGGGGCTCAGGCGCGGCTCCCCCGTGGAACACCGGTCACGGGGCTCAGACATGCTCCCCACAGGCCGTGTGAACTCTGAGAGGCCCTGCATCTGGATGCTTCCACAGCATGACTCAAGTTCTTGGACAGACCGAACCTTTTTGCTAACCCGGCTATTAGGCCTGGCCACTTCCTTCCTCCTGGCACTATTTTCAGCAGCAGCAGCAGCAGACAGGAGCCCTGCACCTGCCGTCACCCTGGCCCCAGCAGGGAGCCTCAGAAAGCCCTCCTTTGCCTGCACAGCAGGGCCAGCGGTGCCTGGGGGGCAGAAGGGGAGGTACGGGATGGTCTGTGTCCAGAGGATGGGGCCCAGAGGCCAGGCAGCCCTCCCAAAGGCAACAGCTCACCCACCACCTTCTGGTGTCTCCTGGCCGGAATGTGTGCCCCATCTCCTCTCCAGGGCTCTGGCTGTCATGTTCCCTCAGGGTGCAGACCAGGGCCCCAGCCGGGTGGTCTTGACCTCCAGGGACATGACCCCAAGGAAGAGGAGACACTGGGGTGACTGCCTACTGTGTAGCCAGCCTCTGTCCACAGGGTGGGAGGGAAATGTGGCTGAGACACAGCCCCCAGAAGCTGACAGTCCTGGGGCCTGTGACAGCCCGGCGGAGGGGTCTACTGCAGCCTGCTCCCAGGTTCAGGCCCCGCTGGCCTGACCACCCTGGCCTGGCTCTGCCACGGGATGGAGTTTCAGGACGCGGTAGCTCCATTCTCTTTCCAAGCCGAAACCGGTGCCGAGACGCCGGAGAGCTGGCCCGGGATCCCAGGGGCTCACGTGGCTACCTTCTGGCCAGCCTCCCCCAGCGCGCCTTCTCTCTTTCTTCCGAGGAAATTTGGCAGGACGGTGGGGTGCTTATGCTCCCCTTTTATCTGGGTCTGTTTGTCCCTAGCTGGAATAACAGGGGGGCTTTTAAAACCAAATGAATGCAACATCCAAAGAATGGCCTCAGACCAATGGAATGTCTCATGTTCCCTCTCTCTGGCTCAGAGCAGAGGCCCTTTGGGGCTTAACATCTTTTTCATTCACTTGCAAAATACCTCCCAGAGCACAAGTTCAGAGTCCTGGAGCAGGTCCCTCCTCTCCTCGCTCCCATTTCCCTCTCAGTGGCAGTCACCTGATCAGCTGGTACACTGTAGATTTGCGGGGGGAGGGGAAGAGAAGAAAAGATACTATTTTGGGTTTTAATTTCCAATGCATTTGTGTTGTATTTTATATATATATATATATATATATATATATATATATATATATATTGATTTTCTTACAGAGAGGAAGGGAGAGGGATAGAAAGTTAGAAACATCGATGAGAGAGAGACATCCACCAGCTGCCTCCTGCACACCCCCCATGGGGGATGTGCCCGCAACCCAGGTACATGCTCTTGACCGGAACCGAACCTGGGACCTTTCAGTCCTCAGGCCAATGCTCTATCCACTGAGCCAAACCGGTTTCGGCTTGTGCTGCATTTCTTACCCATGTCTGTTTCTTCTTCTCTAAAAACATTTAAGTCGACTAAACACCGCCTGTAGCCCACCTGTCACCCAAACACAGACACTGTCCTGGTTGGGCATGGATTTACCAGGGACCCATGAGTTCCATCATCCTTCCTCCAGGCGGAATCCCTGCCCCTGGAGTCCCAGGTCACAGCCTTCAATGTTCTCAGGACCAGAGAGGGACGAGTGCTAGCTGCAGAGAATGGAGACTACTGCATGTCCCGATGGCTGTCACTCTGCAACACACACACACACATACACACACTCACACACACACACAGAGACACACATACACACACACACAGAGACATATACACACACAGACATACACACACAGACACACACAGAGACATAACAGAGACACACACACACAGACGTACACACAGACACAGACACACACACACACACACACACACACACACACACGCACGGCCTGTCTTAAAAGCCTATCAGCTCACACAGATGCCGGCTTAGGACGCACATGTCCGGTACTTCCTCTAACTGACACTGAGCAGGGGCCCGGGACACGCCCCAGGGGTTTGTCTTCATGTCAGCTACTGGCAAGCAGCCCTTAGAGACCAGACAGCCTTTCTCCTTAGTAACTCACACGTGCTTCTGTTTTCCACGGCCTTGCTAGCCAGGGCGAGGTGATCTCCAACACTGAATTGTGCGTTTCCAAACCCTGAACTGCCTTTCACCTGGCAGGTTCTGGGAGGCTAGCTGTAGCCACAGACGTGGAGGAAGCAGAGCCGGGCAGGGGGAAAAGGGGTGGCCATGGGTTTGGGGCCAGCAGAGCTGCTTGCAGGGGCAGGGCATGAGCTGGGAAGAGGGAAGGGGGACTGGGAAGAGGGGCCACCTTTAACCCTTAGATGGCCAGGCAGGGCACTCAGGCCTCCCTTCTGTTACTGTTTCTGTGAACTCTTGTGGGTGTCAGCACGGAGAGCTGGGAGGAGGGCATGGCTGAGCCCAGAGCTCCTTGCTGAGGCCGGAGCACCTCTCCTCCTCCCGACTCCCCCTTTCCCCTCAGAGGTCACCCTCCGCCCGCGCAGTGCTCCTCACAGAACCAGCAACCACCCCCAGCGCCATCTCAACCACAACCACCACCGCGGGCCTGCGAAACACTCGTTAATTTCTGCTCAGGGTGCAGCCGTTTACAGCACTAATTACCTCTGCAGCCTCACACCCGGGCATAAAACCAGCCCTTTGTCCTCCACCGTGGAGCCTGTTCAAATATTAACTCAGCCATCTTTCCCACCTCCACACCCCGGGGCAGGAGGGCGGCGGCTCAGTCTCAGCGCCCCGGCTTCACAGACACACACATGGGAGCGGGAGGTCAGCGCAGAGGCTGCCCAAGGTCAGGTCTACACCTGGACGTATATTCAAGTGGGTGGAAGAGTGTGGGGTCACACTTCTCACTGGAAAGACGTGCCCTACGTCTGAGACCTCCACCAGGGTCCTGGAAAGATGGGCTTGGCGTAGGAACCCAACAGACAGCACCTGCTCAAGATGCCTTGCCCGGGGGCCCGTGATGGGACATAGATGTGACATTTCAGTCATCCGGAGACGCCCCTGGATGAGGAGAAGAGCACGAGGCAGTGGCATGTGCTCAAGCAGAGACAGTGGGTGGTAAAAAGACCCCCCCATCTTCACCCCAGACTTGGGCCTAATCACACCCTTGACTCTGACCACCTAAGTGACCTTGAGGAAAGGCATTCACTGGGCACAACTGTGATGACCGAGGAGGGTGACTCCGGTGAACCACGCAGCACAGAGCACAGGGCCTGGCTGGGGACCAGCCATCAAGGCCATTCCCACCCTCACAGGAGGAGCCTCTGGTGTTTCCTGCGGTGAGAACGGGAAGACGTTTTGTTCCCCAAGGAGCAACGATCCTTTGTCCGTCCCGTCCCGTGACTGTGCTCCGAAGTCCGTACAAAGCCAAGGCGTGACACCCATTAAAAATTTAACTATATATCATATTCATTTATTATCAATCCACAGGATAATCTGATTGCTACATGAGCTCATAAAAGCTTTTTCACCTTTACAAAATTAAAAAACAGTGTGCCACAAGGGTGTCATAACAACTTGCTGAGAAACAAGAAAAGGAATCTTAAAATTATAAATTTGCTGTAGAAAAGATAAAAAACGATTTTATTTTATTTAGAATTTTTTTTCTTATACCTTGAATAAAATATTCCCCTGTATAAAAAATAAAAAAGCTTGCTCTGGTTAGAATTAGAGTATTCTCTCTTTCTATCGCTCGCTCTCTCTCTCTCTCTCTCTCTCTCTTTTTTTTTTTGTCTTCAAATCTGGGAATTTGCATACGATCTCCAAGATCATTCTCCTTAGTACCGCGTGGCCTTCAAGCATAGCAGATTTAGAAAGATGCTCCCTCTCTCTCTCCTTCAAAGCAGTCTTCACATGGGACATCTGAGAAGGGCCCTTTCCTCTCCTCCTCCGGGTGCGGGGCCCACAGCTGCCCGTCTGGGGAGGAAGAGGAGGAGAGGAACTGGGCGAGGGCAGGGGAGGGCCGAGGGTGAGGGAGAAGGAGGGCGAGGGCTCAAGAAGGTCGGTCTGTAAGTGCTTTACGATAAGGTGCAGAAGCCGGCGAGTCGCTAGAACTGCCCTATGTACATATTCACAAGGATCACCACTCCCAGCTCGTTCACATTTTCTCCTCCGCTTGCTCCGACGACGACCGCCCGCCCGCGCGCTGGCGAGGTGGCCGGGCCGCCCGGGGGTTGGTCCTGTGCCGTCCTGGCGCTGGAGGGGGCGGCCCCGGACCCAGCAGGCTCTCCAGGCGCCGTCTGCCACCTGCCGCCTGCCGCCGGGCTGGCGTCCTGAGTTAGAGAGAAGCCGGGGCCGCTGCCGTCGGACCCGGCGGTCCCTGTCCCGCGGCCCAGGCTCTGTGCCTTGGATTTGTACAGAACGGGCGTCAGAGAGGAACACGAAACACAGACACACAGCACGAAGCCGGGGCCGGCCGCCGGGCAGCCGCGGGCCTAACAGCTCTTGACGCGGGCGATGTCCGACGTCTTCTTGATGACGCTGGCCCGGGTCTCGCGGTCCGGCCGGCCGCCGGCGGGCGCGGGGCTCACGGAGGCGGCGAGCGGGTGGTCGGGGTACGGGGGCCAGGAGCTGCTGAAGGGCATCGGGTAGTTCTCCTCCTTGATGGTGACCTGCAGGTCGGGCTTGTTGGAGGTCACGAAGGTGGCCATGCTGGGCAGCAGGTAGGTGCTCCGCGTGCCCATGTTGCTGAGGTACTGCTTGCCCTCGATGTTCCGCTTCCGCCAGGGGGGCCGGCCCTTTCAGAGAGAAAGAATGAGGGCGTGTGTTTTCCTGGCCTCCTGTCGGCGGGGCTTAAAAAAAATAAAAGGAGCCGAAACCGGTTTGGCTCAGTGGATAGAGTGTCGGCCTGCAGACTGGAAGGTCCCAGGTTCGATTCTGGTCAAAGGCATGTACCTTGGTTGTGGGCACATCCCCGGTAGGTGGTGTGCAAGAGGCAGCTGATTGATGATTCTCTCTCATCGATGTTTCTAACTCTCTATCCCTCTCCCTTCCTCTCTGTAAAAAAAAATCAATAAAATATATTTTTTAAAAATTAAAATAAAACAAAAGCACTGCCAATCCCCGTGCCAGGAAACGAAATTTCCTAAGTGTTGTGGAAGGAACGGGAGCTCAGCAACTCTACATCCCTCCATTGGAGCCCTCCCTTGTCATTGGTTCCTCTTGGCTGCCCCCCAGGAGCGTGGTCAGGGTGCTCGGTGCAGGCAGGAGGGCAGGGCAGCAGCATGGTGTCTGCATCCCCTCCACACCCGTGCCCAGCCCCGTCCATGGTGGCTGGTGCCATGGAGGCTCGGTTCCTCCAGGATGGCCCCATCAGGGGGAGGGGAGTGAGAAACGGCCCCACCCAGGGAGCGCCCCTGGACGGCTGGCCAATGGGCGCTGCTTAGAGGGTGGCCTCCTTTCGAGAAGGGAAGGAGCCGGAAGGCGGGCCTTGGAGACGTGGCTGGGACGTCTGTGGGCCGTTACACCCTGCACTGTTTTCTCAGGCTCCTGGGCTCATTGAAATTGGGTCTCAAAAGAACTGGTGGCCCAGAAAGAAGCTCACACAGACTGATTCATATGCCTTTCAGCACAACCATTATTGCCTGTCTCATTTTTTATTCTCTTTTTAAAAAAAAATATATTTTATTGATTTCTTACAGAGAGGAAGGGAGAGGGATAGAGAGCTAGAAACGTCAATGAGAAACACCGACCAGCTGCCTCCTGCACACCCCCTACCGGGATGTGCCCGCAACCAACGTACATGTCCCTGACCGGAATCGAACCTGGGACCTTTCAGTCTGCAGACCAACGCTCTACCACTGAGCCAAACCGGTTTCGGCTCATTTTTTATTCTTATAAGTGTATTTCCAGTAGGACATGATCTCACTCATCTAGGGGAAATGGTGAACAACAAAGACAGATGAACAAGAACCGACCCAGAGATGAGAAGCCATGGGTCAGACTGTTGGACCTCAAAGGGAGGATGGGGATAAAGGGAGAGATCAACCATCAACCAAAGGACTTATGTGCAATAGGGAGGTGGGGGCATGAATGGGGGGGGGGGGTTGGAATGGGGGGTTCCCAACGCTTCATGTTATCATTCAAAACCCCAAAATGATGTTCATTTTCTGTTCTGTACACTTAACCGCACACACACACACACACACACACACACCCATGAGTAAGACTCGGAACCAGAAGAGAAGGAACGTAGGAGGGTGGGAGCGGGCGGGTGCTTACCTCGGCGCTCTCCTCGTCACTGGGCACACTGTCGGTGGTTTCGCTTTCTGTTCATGGGAGAGAAACACAGGCTGTCATTCCTGCCTGCAAACTGTCCCAAGTATCAGCACCTCTTTTCCCAGAAGCGAAATGGGCACCTGACCTCCCCATCTCCGTCCCCTTCCTAAGGTCAAACACTGACCTTGGGAGATGCCAGAGTGACCACGGCCCCTCGGATGCCATCGCTTCCTGTGAGCCAGGCAATGTCTGCTCACGGTCACCACGTCCCGGGGCGGGGTGCTGGTCGCAAGGCGCCCGGCTGCTGTCCGCTCCCCCAGCCCATGTCAATCTGCTCACTAAGTCCCAACTCGGGGCCCTTCTCCCTCACCCCATTCACTCAGACCCCTCCTCGCCTTCACACTCCTTTGGCACTGGTATCTGGGATTTGTCAGCTCCACTGTCCACCCAGGTCACTGTCGATCCTCATCCTGGTCTTTACCTTCTTGTGGGACTTCCCCCTTGGGAGCAGGGGGGGGGGGCAGGGGGACGACCTGGGACTTGCTTTAAGCCGACAGAACCCAGCGGAGTGATGGGGGGATGTGTGTGATTACCTAACGGGACGGACCTGTGTGCTGAGCAGATTCTGTCGCTGGCTTTGAGGAAGCGAGCAGTCAGGTTGGGAAGGTTTTCTATGACAAGGAATGAAGGGCTGCTTCCCAACAACAGCCAGCAGAGAACTATGTTTACTGTACCCCACACCGTAGGCCCTTGGACACAGACCCCCACTTCGATGCTCAGATGGGACACAGCCCAGAGCGGACCTGGACTGCAGATGGGTGCAGGGGACCCTGAGCTCAGCCACGCCTGCACCCCTGGCCCTCAGGAACGGGGGTGAATAAATGTGTGCTGTTTGCAGCCACTGCATTTGAAGTTACACTGAATGCAGCCAGAGATAAGGAATTCTGTGCCCATCCTGACCCGCCTGCCCGCTGTGAGCCACTTCCCGGACCTGCTGTTTCCTCATCTGCAAGATGGGAGGGCAGCTCCTTCCAAAGGGGTTCGATGCTGAGTGATCCAGGCAGGGGCAAGGCTGACGGGCCTGGGCAGGGCGCACTGGGTCAAGGGGACCAGCCTCTGCACTGAGCCTGAGGCCTGGCCAGCACTGGTTTGCACATGCTAGACTCACAGCGTCCAAGTCAACGGCCGGTGGTCACAAATCACGTGTGATACAGGATTGTTTGAAGCAAAAAAGTCAACTTTTTTTAAGCAAAAAACCTTAAAACTCATAAGTAAAAAAATAATGTGCAGTTGCTCAGCGTTCAGTTTTGAGAAAACCAAATACAAAGGATAGAACTCTTGAAATACACAGACTGTCAGAGACCCTGAGGCTGGGCCGTTCACTTTACTGGCAAGACTGCAGGGCAGCCACAGCTGAGAACGTTCGCGCTGTGCCCGGGCCAGGGCTGCCACGGCCTGTGTACAGGCCTCGTTTGGCCTGGAGGACTGCTCACGGGGAGCAGCGCCCATCCTCTCCCATTAAGCACAAGAGCTCTCGGTCTGATGCCTGCAAGCCTTTCCCCCGGACCCACTGAGGAACTGGCACAGCCCGGCCCTGTCGCCCACCCAGCACCCAGGGCGCAGACCAGGCTCTGGAACGCAGGCTGGAGAACCAAGGACACCCGGAGCCGCAGGGTCACCCCGAAACGGAGAGAGCGAGGGTGCTGACCACCAGGCTCCACCCCGCACAAGGTGTCTGGGTCACTGCTCTCCAGCGATTTCTCCCAGCCCGACTGACTGCCGACGGGACCACCAGTGGCTAGAGGTCGGCCTCTCGGCTCCTCCGACGAGGCAGCCGTCCCCACAGCACCCAGCCTGGGAGCCGCAGGCCTCGCTGGTAACGGCCTTGGTTCCCACTCCAGCCTCTGAGGAAATTTCCAGACCCGATTCCCGCTGCTGGGCTGAGCTTCCTCTGGCTCTGAATCCAAGGTTTCTTTTCCTTTCGTACATGTCATGTCCCCTCAACTCCTCATCACCCCCATCGGTACCTTCCCCATCAATGGAAAACAAACAGTGCCAACAGGCATGCTTGGGGCTGGAAATATGCAAAAATGGGATCCCACAGCCCAAGCCACAGCTGAGGAGGGGCAGGAGGGAGGGGCGGGAGGCAGCCCCTGAGCCTGAGCAGATGTCAAACACCGCCCCCTCCCCGCCCAAGTCCCAGCTTCTGGCCTCCGGGAACAGCCGGGGACAAGAAAAGACACAGACTCTGAGCTCTGGCTTCGGCTGACACTGTGAGCGCAGAGCACGTTTCTGGCGTAGCTACAAAGGCTCTCCACAACGCCACACGGTTCCCCCGTGGTAAGGGCCGGCCTGGTGCCTTCCGCCCTCAAGCAGGAGCAGCAAGTGCTGCAGCCGAGGCCCGGGCCCCTTGAGCTGCCCGGGAACCAGGTGCCAAGGGCTTCGCTGGGTCGCGTAGTCCAGTTCCCGGTTTGACCTCACGGTCACCGCCACTTCCCGGGGCCACGCTTACCCCACAGACGAGCCCCTGGGGCTGCTGCGTCCAGATGCGTGTTAGTGGTAGTGTCAGTGCCCACACTCCAGCAGGAGTTACTTCCCTTTCCCTGCCGATCACTTGTGTTTGCCTTTTTTATTTACTTCGAATACAGTGGAGTTAAAAAAACAGGTATGCGATCATCATTTCACCTTCCTGGGCTCTGCTCCCCCAAGGCCATTGGGGAAGGGGGAGGGAAGGAGGGCCAGGCTGATCGCAAAGACTCTCTTCCCTCGCTCAAAGAGGACACTCTCCTTAGGCTCCCGCCCTCCAGCCCAGTGTTCCCGGCCAGACCTTCTTGGGAACACACGGGAGGAGGGACGGCATGCTTCACAGGAAAGCCGTTCTGCACGCTTACGTCCTGGAACAGTTTCTGGAAGGTTTTTGTTCGATACGTGTGAGTACAGTTGAGGAGGATGTCTTTCCCGCAATCCTTTGCTCAATCGCTTTCATTCGGGCTCAAGTAAAAGGTTCCAAGCAGAGTGGTCTTCATCTCGAAGCCTTTATCCCTCCTCCCCTCGCCCCCAGCAGAATGCAGTGGTTTCTGTTCGGGCCCCCATCTTTGCTGCCGGCGATCTCCGTTCTCTGGGCCGTGACCGGTCAGTCCCTCGTAGCATGCTTTCTCCTCCAGCCAGTCCCACCCTCTCACCCGCCGGCTCCAATCCAAAGGCTCCGGCGGCTCTCCTTTCCCACACCAGCAGCCACCAGGCAACACCCTGCTGCCACCCTCGGGCAAGAGGCCCTTTGGGGGGACCTTCAGAGACCAACGCCTCTCCTCTAGGCTCCCCAGCCCGGCTCTGGGACCCCCCTCCCCGGGACAGAAGTCTGACAGATCCAACCAGAGAGAAGACAGACTTGCAAAACCAAGTGTGTTCTGTGATCCTGCTGGGATTATAGTTCAGGGGTCAGAAGGCGAACATAGCTAACAACAGCCTCCAAATACCTATTTCCTAAGCAAAGGCATGGAAGTGGTTCGTGGAGGTTGAAATACAGTTGAATAAGCAAAACCAAAAAAGAAAAAAAGAAAAAAAAACCCACAACAAACAGACAGACAGACCCACACCCTGTCATGGAAAGCAGGCAAATAGCCAATCCTATAGCAACATGCAGGTCGAAAGAGAGCTACAACCAAAACAGCTGCCTCTCTGAGCAGCAGGCTCCCGACTCTGAGACTGACACCATCTAGTCTGAGCCTGGACTCCAGAAGGGTCCGGACACCAGCCGGGCCCAGGAACTGGGACGTTCCCACACGCCCGATGGCGCTGGAAATGCTACGGTGATGAAACCTTTTGGCTCCAACAAGCAGCCTCCCTCCCGAGGGCTCTGGAGAATCCAGACAATGAGAACAACTGGAGGACTGAGGGCCCAGGACGTCTGCATGGGTCTCAGAAGCTCTGTGCCGGGCTGGCAGGCAGGAGGGTCTTGAGGATACGGTGCCACAGGAAAGCAGCCCTTTTCCCCAAGGACAGATCCTGGAGGACTCCACTTTCGACGAGGCCCCCAGAGCAGCTAAACTCCCCGGAAGCAGAACGGCTGACAGACGCGGATAAGGGGGGGCAGAGGTTCCGCTTGGGAAGGTGAACAAGTTCTGGAGCTGACGACGGGGACAGCTGCACAGCAATTCCAATGCACTTAATGCCGCTGAAATAGCAAAACTGGCCGATTTCATGGGATGCGCATTTTACTATAATTTTTTAAAAGTCAGACAGGCAGTTAGGGTTCGGGTTACTGAGTAACTGGTAGCTCTCCAACAGCCTGTCCGTGGGGTGGCCCCAGGCAGCTAGGCGGGGGACCCTGGGAAGGACTCCTGAGCCACGTGGTAGACCCGCCTGTGTCACTCACGGCAGGGCCTCTGCTTCGTGCTTCCCATGTCCCGAGCAGGAGCACTGGCTCGGAAGTTGTATTTCCTCATTATGACCGAGTCCCCAAACGTTAACGGGGCCCACTGCGAAGGGAGCATAAAACGGTGCGACGATGGTGGGGAACGGAGCCGTCCCTGCTCGGCGAGGATGGAGAACCCACTGGGGCAGGTGCCTGCCATGCCAGGCCGATCCTGCGGCATCGGAAACAAGCTCAGTGGCCTGGCCTGATCAGAAGCTGCATCGAGTTGGAAAAGAAGGGGAACTGTCCGGCCAGTGTGGCTCAGCAGTTGAGTGTTGACCCAGGAACCGAAAGATCACTGGTTTGATATCCGGTCAGGGCACATGCCCAGGTTGCGGGCTCCATCCCCAGGATGGGGCATGTGAGAGGCACTGGTCCGTGGTGTTTCTCTCTCATCGATGTTTCTACCTCTCTCCCCTTCTCCCTTCCCCTTTCTCTGAAAATCAATACTACATATATATTCCTTAAAGGGGAAGGTATGTGGAAGTCACACATAAACCTGGTGGAATGGAATGAGGCCTGGGGTCTGAAGGCTGAGGCCAAGTCCTGACCCAAACACTTACTACGGACCGTGTGGCCTGGATTAAGTCCCTTCACTTCCAACACTGTAGGCACCGGAGGACATGATCCTGGGGTCCTACCCAGCATGCTCAGCTCGGCTTCCATCACGAACACCCTTCCAAATTTCGGAGAACTTGTGCAATAAAATAGACTCAAATGAACTTGCGTGTCCAGAGGAACGTTATTGCGTGTTCGTCATGCATGGAAATGTGTGGGCGATCACGCGGAGCCACGCTGAGGCCCTGTCTGTGGGAGCAAATGTGTCCAAGAGAGAGCAAGAGCAGCTCCCGGGGCAGACGGGAGGCTGCTGCTGGGCAGGGCTGCCGCCCCGACGGAAGGAGCCCCCCTGGCCCTCAGAGCCCCCCTGGCCCTCAGAGCCCCCCCTCACCTGCGTAGGAAGACACAGGGGAGATCTGCAGAGGGTACAGCTCACTCATGCTGACCGGCTGCTCATCGCTCTCGGTGGTCACCTCCACCACCTGGCAGATGTCCGGCGGGTTGGTGACAATCTCTTGGTCCTCGATGTTGCTGTCCAGATGTGACTGTCCTACAACTTCAGAGAAAGGAAGCCATCACATACCGTTGCCTCCTGACCCAGCTCCCGCACACCCCCTCAGGACTGAACATCTTCCCCGAAAGAGCCGGCCGGCCAGGGCGCGGCGTCTCAGTGACCACGTGTCCACGGCCCCGAGACTGAAGACCAGGCCCCGGGCTCCCGGGACCGCTCCCAGCAGGCCTGCCAGCATCCCCACCCCAGCCCAGGCCCGGCCCCGGCTGTGGGAGGACCAGAGGCTGGCTCCCGACCCCGGCCCCGGCCCAGGCGGATAGCCAGAATGGACCCATTTCTGTTCTCTGCTCCCGCTCCAAACGAAGCTGGGTGCTGTGCTCTGAGTCTTAGCAGGAAGGAAGCAGCTTCACCCTAATCGGCCCACTGAGTCATTTCTAGCTGTGGGGTGTCCTGTCCCTTCTCCCCAGGCCACGCCACCACTGGATGGGAGGGCAGAACGGTGGGGCAGCTGCTCGCCGGGTTCTCACAAACACAGGCGAGTCGCATCGACTTCCCAGAACACGGGGAGGATGAATCCTGCCTCACGATTTTAAATCAAACTTTATTTTGAGATTATCCTAGATCTGCACGCCGTTGTAAGAAATGACAGAAAGAGATCCTGTGTGCCCTTCACCCAACTTTCCCCCAATGGCTACACCTCACAGAACCACGGGTCAAGCCAAAACTGGTTTGGCTCAGTGGATAGAGCATCAGCCTGCGGACTGAAGGGTCCCGGGTTTGATTCCAGTCAAGGGCATGTACCTTGGTTGCGGGCACATCCCCAGTAGGGGGTGTGCAAGAGACAGCTGATCAATGATTCTCTCTCATCGATGTTTCTAACTCTCTATTCCTCTCTCTTACTCTCTGTAAAAAAAAAAAAAAAAAAAAAAAAAAAAAAAAAAAAAAAAAAAAAAAATCAATAAAATATATTAAAAAAAAAAAAAAAAAAAAAGAACCACGGGTCAAGGTCAAGATACTACTGACAACCATCCACGCATCCGCTCCGATCTCCTCGGAGGCTGGATCCTGCATGTGCGTATGGGTGTGTAAATAGTTCTAGGCAGCTTTATCACAGATGTAGCTTCACATACCAGCCCACAGTCACCTTCAAAAGCATCTCCTATGTTACCTGAAGTAGCAGCCACACTTGGGTAAAAACTGCTGCTTGAATTTTAACTGCTATTCTGGCTTCTGCACTCACTTACTTGCTTAAACAATAGGGTAGTTACCTCAGCTTCCAGACTGAGACCTGGAAACTCAAAAGGTAACTTTTCTGCAGACCAGGCCCACAGGAGATTGATTCCCACTGACTCAGTAGCTCCAGGAGTGGAAACTGCAGATAACCTTTAGAGATTAACTTGGCTCAGTTCTGCTTCTGTACTATCTGCTTTCGCAAGATAGGGCCACATTCCACATCCAGCCCTGCGGGCTGTTCCCAGCCTTTAGAATTTAGAATTTAGAACAAAGGAAAATGTTTGTGGTTTAGAACTTTAAAAGGACTGCCCACACCTGGAATGGTGCAGTCGTGAGTGTGGATTCCACCTGCGTGTGGTGCTCTCTCGGCTGTCCTGGCCAGTTCAATAAATCCTTGCCTGCTTTTTTTTTAATCAAATAGCAGCCTCCAGTGGTCTTATTTTGTCTCCAGGGTTCGACCCCACAACATTACCCTTCTGTAACCATACCCCTCTTCCTTCAGCCACCCCTTCTCGTTACTCCCCAACACCCAACAACCTGTTTCCCATTTCTCTAATCTTGGATATTTTGAGTTGTGTTCTCAATAGACTCACACAGTAACCTTTTGAGCTTGTCTTTTTTTTTTTTTTTTTTTTTTCACTCGGCATAACTCCCTGGAGATTTATTCATTCGGGATGTGTATGTCAAGAGGTGTGTGTATCGATGCCTGGTCCCTTGGCACTGCTGAGTGGCATTCCATGGTCTAACTGTCCCACAGTCTGTCCGCCCTCTGAAGGACTCTGGGGCCATGTCCATCCCTTGGCTGTTACAAATCAGGCTACAGAGAACATCTGTGCGCAGGTTTTGTGCAAATGTAAGTTTCCCTTTCTCTGGGGTAATGAATCCCAAGCGTGCAGCTGCTGGGTGATGCGGCAATTACATGTCTAGCTTTACAAGAAACTGTCAAGCTGCCATCCAGAGTGGCCGTAGCATCTTACAATCCCACCAGCGTGGATGGATAATTTTTTTTTTTAAAGCCTCACGTGAGGACATGCTTAGAGAGAAGGAAGGGGAGGGAGGGAGAGAGAGAAAGAGGAGAAACACCTATCGGGTTGCCTGCTGTACACCCCAGAACTGGGGATCAAACCCACCATGCAGCTCTCTGCCCTGACCGGGAATCAAACCAGCACCCCTTTGGTGCATGGGATGTCGCTCAACCAACTGAGCCGCTCGGCTGGGCTGGACGATCTAACTCAGGCACAGTGTCTCCAGCCGTCAGTGTGGTCATTATTTTATTTTTATTTTTTTTTTTTAGCCACTGTGACTCATCATAGCTTTAATTTCCTGCTCTACCCATAATGCCCTGCTCTACTTTTACCCAGCGCTGACCTTATACTCCAGTGGGCAATTAACTGGATGGAACACACCCGGAAACTGGACCAGTCATCAAACGGGAATAGTGCTGTGTTCCCGGACCTCCGCATGCTGCCATCACGTATAAGTTATTTTAACATTTTCTGCCCTGAAATCAGCAGGGCAAGCATCACCATCCTGTTACAAGCACAGACACCCGGGCCCAGAGACGCGGAGGGACTTGTCCAAGGCCACACAGCTTGGATCGCGTGCAGTGCTCCATCCCACACGAGAATGCCCAGGGCCTGCAGGAAGGCGACACTCAGTCAGCCTCATGGCCCGCTCCTGGGTCCACGCTCACAGTCTTTTCGCTGCGCGAGCATTTGTTTAGAAACGGTTCCTGCTTTGTGGGGGTCTCGGGTGATGAAAAGATGTGCAGCGAGTAGGGAAGGGCTGGGAGGGGTGGGCGGGCCGGGAGAGGAGACGTGGGTGTGACAAGGGTCCACAGTGCAGCGTACAGAAGGGGAGGGAACGTGGATGCTGGCTAGGTTCTCCTGGAGGGGAGGAAGTTAAAGAAGAGAAAGGCAGGTAGGATCCCCAACTCTTACTTGTCCCCTGGGGCTACCTCTCTGAGCATGAGGACATCAATGTTGCCATTCATTGCCCTCGCTGGTTTGGCTCAGTGGATAGAGCGTCTGCCTGCGGATTCAAGAGTCCCAGGTTCAATTCCGGTCAAGGGCATGTACCTTGGTTGCGGGCACATCCCCAGTAGGTAGTGCGCAAGAGGTAGCTGACCGATGTTTCTAACTCTCTATCCCTCTCCCTCTCTGTAAAAAAAATCAGTAAAATATATATATATTTTTTAAAAATTACGCCATTCACTAGACACACACTAAGCAAGACACTAACCCCTCTCAGTTCCTCCTGCCTCTTCTCCCAAATAAAGTAAGACAGCAGGAAACGAGACTTCCCAAGTCCTAGAAGCAGAAATCTAACGGGTGTCAGAATGTGTCTGAGGAGAGGGGGAGCACGCAGTACCCCCTCTCAGGCCATTCGGATCTCCTATACCTGTGGCTGGTGTCACAGCCGCTTTACCTTCCCACACTGCACTGCCTTCCCAGACACGGCAGCTCCCTGGGCACCAACCCTGGCAGCAGCTCAGCATCTTCCCAGTTCTGCCCCTTTGCTCTGACCCAAATCCTCTCCCTCACTGTTGCTTTTGAATCCTCATCTGAGGATACTCGCTTATTGATTTGAGAGAGAGAAAGAGAGAGAGAGAGAGATATTGTCTCCTGCACATGCCCCAACCGGGCTCGAACCCACAACCTTTCAGTGTACAGGACGAGCTTTAACTGAGCAGGGCTCTCCTCACTGCTTTTCCCACAATGCCCAACTCCGTGATCCCACTAACCCAGACTCATGAGCACCTACCCTGCACAGGACTCGGCTGTCACGTGCTGGGAGTGGAGATCACGTGGTCTGGGACCTGCCACAGGCTGCGGCCGCACACAGCAGGAAGGAGTGCGCTGAGCAGAGCGGTGGGAAGGGGAAGCGGGAGCAGCCATGTGACGGGGGTGGAGGGAGTGCAGTGTTTTTTTTTCCCCAGTTCAGGGAATCAAAGGCTTCAGTGAGGCGGTGACAGGGGAGGGGGGAGAGGAGGAGGGCCAGCCACAGGCAGCACTCACAATGCCTGCCTCTTTGGAGCCTCTTCCTGGCCGCCCCGAGCAGGCTGGCCTCTCCTTCCGGGCGCCTCTCACTCCCTGTCCCGCTGCTCAGCCAGAACGACAGCGTGACCCGCCCCGTGGCAGCTCCTGACGTCCTGCTCCCCGCGGGGCGTTAGGTCCGTGTGCCTTCTGTCGGCTGTGGCTGTGTGTCCCCGCCCTGTCACACCGGGCCTCTGAGAGCCGGGGACCCAGTCCCCGCAGGACGGCAGCTCCGCGATCGCTGCCGAGTGAACAAGTGGGCAGACGCCCACGCCGCTTGCAAACACCAGATTCCACACGCGTGTTTTCGGGAAAATGTCAAGGCCTTTGGCACGTGGGTTCTTTAGACCTGGGTTAGTCTGACGTCACTGTCCCAGAAGCTGAGGAATGTATTGGGGTGATGACATGTCCTGTCTTAACGAGACTGGTGGTTACACAACAGCATGCACCTGTCAAAACCTCAGTCCACTGTGTTTCCCCTCGTCTAGATGACTTAAGACAAAAACATCAGATAAGCAACTTTACTCAGCTTTTAAAATTACATTCACTGGGTGGCATCAGCCAATTTCAGGTGCACACCTTGATTAAACCGCATCTGTCTCCTCTACTGTGCTCACCACCGAGCCTCGTCCCCTCCGTCACCGGGTACGGGACCCCCTTCACCTCCTTCTTCCGAAGGCTGGTGACGGGATTCCACCGTCAGGCTTCGTTTCTGGCGACAACCCGCTTCCCCCGTTAAGCTCATTCCATCGTCCCCGAGGCAGCGGGCCCAGGGAC